GGGGGGGGGAGGTTGTTCGGGGGAAACAGGCCCCCCTACTCCGGGAGGTGATAAAAGCAGAGCCCCCTCTGGTAGGTGGACTGGTTGCTCCGTTTATTGTTGGGGATCTGCACCTGCTGGAAAGCGGGTCCATCGTCCCCTTGAACAGAACTAGCAAGAAATACTGAGCAAAAACAAATGGCCGGTGCCCACCAGCATTGATTGCCCCGGAAAGTCCGTGGATTTACTGGGCGGGCAGTGGCTGTGAGAAATCAGCCCAGCTACGGGACACCCTCGAGGCACCGGGAGAACATGACTACCAAAACCTCCTGAGAGTATCCTATTAGCAGCTTGTCTGTGGCTATCTGGTGCTGCAGGCAGGGCTACACAAAGCAGCACAGTTGTTGGAAAACTACAGCACACAACTATTTGCCACACAACCCTTTCCACTCAAACCTAGAGTTCGATATTGAGAAGCATGCGTCTGCACGAGCAAATGGCGATCCAGAAACAAGTACATGCGAGGTCATTCTCAGCACTGTAAAATGCCACACAGATGCCATGCAGGCATGTAACACAGCTATGCAAGGTCACAAGTGAAGAGCATTCCATAAACTGAGAACTACCGTCTTGACCCGAATAGTACGCCGAGTCATTTTCGCTCTATCTAGACTGAAGGTTGTGTAATGAACCCAGTCAGGAAGATATTCATCAGACGTCGAAGTTCCAGTAGTCTCAGATCTCAAAGTCTCCAGTTAACGTGGAAATGATATCTGCAACAGTATCTCGTTACCAATAGACGAAGAGAGTGGAGGGAGGATAGACAAGGGAGAAGGTGGAAAAAGTACTCAAAGATCACACAATAGTAACCCCACCAATCCCACTTCTTCTCCGGGCTTCCGCTCCCTCCACGTCATCAATCAAATAACAGTAACAAGTCTGATAAGTCCCGGTAACACACAAATGCCACGTGGCACCACTCTCTCATGGAGACAATGAAGACAGCCAGCAGCGAACTATATCAACGTCGGCCTCAGGTAAGCATCCCGTTCCCAATCATCCACAGATCCCGATCTTCCTCCTTGTCGCAACCAGTCACCTCATGTAGACAGCGCGGCCAATGCCACGTCAGCAGAAACAGGTGGCATGGGCCACGTCATCAATGAAGACAGGTGGCAGCGGCACATCAGCAATGCAACGTAGATGGTGGCAGCCCCACATCAGCATCGCAATGTAGACAGGTGGCAGCACCACATCAGCAATGTAGACAAGTGGCTTGTGCCACATCAGCAATGTACACAAGTGGCCTGCACCACATCAGCCTTGAAGACAGGTGGCAGCGCCACATCAGCAATGCCTGTCGCACAACGTAGAAAGCGCCAGCATGCTGTCACAGCCCGCGTCATCATCCACAGTGCCTGTGCACAGCCAGCGTCTCGCCAGCGTCGTGCCAGCATCAATGCCAGCGACCAGTCAGAGTCGAGCCAGTGTTCAAGCAGCATAGCAAGACTGAATGTCGAACTCCTGAAGACCAGCCCTTGAGTAGCATTTGACGAGGCTGTCTGGTCTCGGGTCCCTTCGTCGTCCAGATTGACTCACAGCCGAGGGCCTGGATTGTGTACAGTTGCAGACTTCCCTTTGGACCTGATGCTGTCTGGGTACCTGCATACAAACAAATGTGTGTGTCTGACCAGCGGCCTGGGCTGAGTACACTTTGACTTTGACTGTTGGATAGTCCGACAGTTGACTTAGTCAACTGTATCTCGTCCAGGCCCTGAATCTTTACGTGGGGTGTTTTTTCCCCCTTTCGGCCTGGGTCTGAGTGCGGCCTGTAGCCCTCAGACTTTCCACGAGGCATACAGCATGGGTTATTGCAGTTGCCCCAAATGCATCTATAATGACCGAGTGTTCTATTTCAGTGAAGGCACTACGCATGGCAAACACTTGACAGCAACAGCCAATGTAAAATCATGTGCAAAATGGTAGAACAAGGGTCCCAAAAGTCCATAACATGAATGGAGAGGAAATCTCACCTTAGGGTCATGGACGAAGCTTTGTCCTGATCGTGCATTAGGAGGAAGCTCACCCGTGCACGCATGCTTTAGGCATTCAATGATGGTCTGACAGCACAAGCACAAACACAAACATGCATGCAGAAGGAATCCCATTCTCCCCCATCCATCAATCCACATCCAACCCCCAAAGCCATCAGCTCCAGCCGAGACCTGCCAATCCGATCCATTGACGAAGTCTTCCATAGGGTTCACCGGTTGCCGTTTTTTGTCGTTTGAAGAGCGGAAGCTCTTACAATCACCTCCCCGCTGAAACTTATGAGTCTCATGTTTATTTGCGTTAGTACTATACTATATATTTAGGAGGTTGGCTAATATCCTTTATTTCTATGCATAAAATTAGTTTACCATTAGCTTCAAGTAATTTAGTATTAGAACTTAGAATACATATAAGTATTACACTTTCTAAGACTTATTGTTTATTTTTTCTTGCTATTGTAGGATGATGGCGGACGTATGCTATAGTTGTCTCTTCTCCCCTTTCTTTTTCACGTTCTGTAATAATTCATGTGGAATTTCAGTGCGTTCCAGAGTTGTCCCAAAGGTAAGGGTACCACATCTTCATAATCATCATCATCTCATCCTCCTCTCTTCATCATCGTCTCATCATCATCGTCGTCATCATTATCATCATCGCCATCTTCAATATAGCAGTGTTCAGTGCAACTTTCGGCCGAAATGCAGAGTGACTCAGCAATCTATTCGGGTGAAGACGCTATCATATGTCCTCTCTCTCTCTCTCTCTCTCTCTCTCTCTCTCTCTCTCTCTCTCTCTCTCTCT